TTTCAGTCTTGAAGCGCCCGCCAAAGAACATGCTGGAATTACTATCAAATTTTCAGAAATACATGAACATTGAGGATGTCGCTAAAACAAGGCAAGCTTAGTCTTCACGTAGAGGGGAATACAAAAAGTAGATACGAAAAAAATTCCATTTCTTCACTAATTTATGGTTAAAATTCAAATTCAATAAAAAATAAAATATTTTTGGGAAATTTGGTGCCTAAACCACCGTAGACAATTTGATTGTGATAGACCTCGAAAAAATTCCCTGGACTGAAAAAAAAAAGCCTCAAATGGACAACCGAGTGCAAAGTTATGGTCATTCAAACTATTTCTTCGTCATTTTCTAATACTCTAGCTAGTGCCTGCCCTAGTGCCAACACCCAGTAACCAGTCCCGTTGTGCCTGCACCCAGTCTTGCAGCCCCCATGTGCCCTTGCCTCCTTTCCTGCCTTGGTGCGTTGCCGGCATCACATGCTCAACTCGTCTAGTAGTGCCCGACGTCACCCCTCCTGGCAAATCTGGCAGTCTCACTTCCTGCGCTCGACGTCCTTGCTCTGTCGACTCTATCCTACCAGTGCCCTGTACCTACCCTAGTTGTCCTCTCTCTCCTTCTCTTTGTTTCTTGGGAAAGATCCTCCCGAGTCATCAAAAGCTCGGCCTCACTCTGCCTCTACTCTAATGCAAGTAGCCTCAGTCTCTAGCTTAGTGACTTTCTCACAAGTCGCTAAAAGCTCAACCTAAATTTACCTCTACTCTCATGTAAGCAGTCTCAGTCTCCAGCTTAGCGACTTTCTCACGAGTAGCCAAAAGCTTGACCTAACTTTGTCTTTACTCTCACTCAAGCAGCCTTAGTCTCAAGCTTAGAGGCTCTCTTGCGAGTCACCAAAAGCTCGGCCTTACTCTATCTCTGCTCTAATGCAAGCAGTTATAGTCTCAAGCTTAGTGACTGTTTCACGAGTTGCCAAAAGCTCGGCCTCATTCTACCTTAGCTCTCATGCAAGTAGCTTCAATCTCCAACTTAGCGGTTCTCTCATGAGTTGCCAGAAGCTCAACCTCACTTTGTCTCTACTCTCATGTGAGTAGTTTCTGTTTCCCAATAGCTCAGCCTCAAGAGATGTTGCTCTCTCATGAGAAAACCTCAACCCCTCCTCAGTAACCTAGTGTGCCTGTCTCTTTTTCGCCAAAGCTCTCAACACCTTCTCAAAATTGAGCATCCTTGAAAAAAGGCACGAAAAAATTGTAAACATCTTTGAACATCCAAAAGCAAGAATGTCAGTATGACCAAAACATATAGAAGATAAAATTGCACAAAAAAGAAGGATACTGTAGCAAAGCTCTCCATCGTAGTATTGAAGATACTCTTAAGACCTCGAGAGCTGACTTCTCTAATCTTCGAGGGTGTCACAAACCTCCAAAGATGCTCCTTGCCCAAATTTATGTCTTGCAGCTTGGACACCAGGCCACTGTTGGAAGCAGGACAATTATGTGGAGCTCTCGTCTTAGTGGAAGTCTACACATGAGTCTTAATCTCTAAAGTAATCCTAGGACTAACCCTATGACTCAAAGGGGTCACTTGTTGAGAATACGCGGGGACACCGTCAAACCTCACATTTTGAGAAAAAGTAGGGCCATCAAACTTCAGTTGGAAAGCACTAAGAGCATTAGACCTCGCCCTCTTAGGAGGAGGGGAAGTTAGCATCCAAGCGACATAGAGAGCCTCCACCATTGATCTATCAACCATGGGATCACCTATGAAAGAGAGAATTTTAAAAACCAACGACATCATTATTTTGCCTAGGTCCTCCATTTTGTCGCCCATGGAACCGCCCAGTCTTACGCCTTCTTTGGTGTTGCCCAAGTTTATATCCATGATGCCACCCAAGCTTCTCTCCCTTTCCAAGGCGTCACTCGCCAAATCAACTCTATCTCCTTATGCAGCATCCATGCCTTTCTTGATCCTCTCTCTGATGTTTGTGGAAGGAAGAAAGAGAATGACATCGCCCTAGATCTAGTTAGAAAAGTAGGATTTCTAATGTAAAGAAATGAAGTTTTCCAAATCCAATGAGAGACCTAGCGAAAGAATTTGTTTGCTAGCACAATGGGTGTCCAACCATGGTGCTACCAAATAGAGAAATAAGCTTCAACAATGAAATGGAGAGGAAAACTGAAGCCACCATGTGGAACAAGATATCTGGTCTACCCAAATGAAGGGGCTCACTTATACCCTCAACCTCCTATCAACACTAGGGCTTGGGGCATGGGGGCCAAATGAGGAGCCTAGATCTAACTAGGACTGGACCTAGTCCATGGGTTAAGCCCAAATCAACGAAAGGTAAACGAATGTGGAAGAACAACTATCAGGATAACCATTACTTCAAGATATTGCCCAACCCAACTGTAGTTATTCTCCCCGATAAATTAGTAGGTTGACCTTCACGTCGTCGCCTCAGCTAGGGCTCTATGCCTATAAATTGTAAACCCCCTACACATAGGGGCAGATCTCACACACATCATCTAGAGTGTACTCTTGCTCTCTCTCTACTGCAACTACGTACTCTCATTAATAGAGTTCTCCGACTACCGTTGCCACCTTCAGTGGTTAAGTTATCAAGATCCAACCACCCAATCTTTCTTTTTTAATATTAATTACATAATTAATTGCTTTACACTATACACTCGACTAATTTGATTGTGCATAATCAACTTTGTGTATTATCAATACTACATCTAAAAGTACACATATATGTAAAACTTTTGTTTCTCATTTTCACCCCTAAACAATATCATTTGTTTTTTTTTTTGGGGGGAGGGAAAGAGGGAAGGAGGACTTGAATCCTTGACCTCAACAAGGCAAAGCTTTTACAAGACAAAGAGTACCATAGGACCAAAGGTCCACTAGTCCTAAACAATATCATTAGGATATTATTGTACATACAAATAAATTTTCTATTAAACCTAAATAATCATAATGAATACAAATAGCCCAAATGTCGTTACTTCACCTTTGGCCTTCTATTTGCCTTCCTCTCTCTCTCTCTCCCCTCCTTGCCCGTTCAAATCTCTTTCCTTAAACTGTCAGCCTTTTCCTTTTCGATTTTTGAGAATTTTCCTATTTTTTTTCAAATGCTCTTGTGGTTGTACAATTTGCAGGCTTCTCTCTATATATGACGTGCTCAAGCCTCTCTATCAAGGAACAAGAAGATCATGCTCTGCTTATAGTGAAACTGGTGTAATCCAATTCTCATCGAAGATGTAGCAAAACAGCGACATAGGCCTTAAAGTAATTTCCGTGAGATTATTTTATCTTGAATGGGGTTTGTTTTTTTCTTTCATTATTATAGTTTGACTTTTCATAATCAAATTAAGGTCCTTGTTGGTGAATTAATTTGAAATTCATTGAAAGAGACTCTATGAATCAAATCTAGTAGGGCCTGATTAGCCTGAAACTCTTCATACCTCAAGTTAAACTTGTGAACTTCAAAATCATTTATACTATCACGTATGTAAGACTTTATTTCAATTGAGTCTCCTAAACTGGCCCAAATATTAGTGAAATCCAATTTTTTTGTGGATTTGGCTGTTATTCTTGTTGATTGTGTTTTGTATTTGTTGTTTTAATATGTTAGATTATTTGTTTCATATATTTCAATACAGAAATGTTATAAGGCAGTTTGGTTGGAGCTAATTGATTTTTTGTATGTTCAAGATTATATTTAGATGAACCTTTTATAGAGACTTCAAAAAGTGAAAGCTGAAATTCACATGCACTAATTGTTAGGAGTAATGGTTGTATGTTCATCATCCTATGAGGAATTTCCAAATACATTTACTTATCTATTTTGGTAACAATTTGTTATACCCATGGTCTATAATTTGAACTCCAGCCACTTTCTAAAGGCTTACAATGAAGTGGAGTTACTTTCTAAGTCATTGGAACTTATGAAGTATTGTTTTATGCAACATTCTTATGTGAAATGATTGTATGTGGGTTAAAATAGTCTTTGTTATTTGGTCTTAGGATGGGTGTTGGTTGCATTTGGTTTTAGGTTTTCAACTCATATAGTTATTTCTTAGATGTATGTGTTCAAGGAGATTGTTATTAGAGAAATAACGTTGGAATTTTCAAAAAAAAAATATGAGACTTATTTTTGTGTGCAGCTATCGCACCAGCTAGTGAAGGTGTAGCTTGAGTAGAGACCTCAAATGCTAGACTTGTTTTTTTGCAAAGATGAAGAAATCGAGGGAGATAGTGGTATCTCAACAAAAAAAAAAAAGATGGAAGATGAAATGGAGCTGGCCATGAAAGATGGCAGTGGAGAAGAGGTCGATTTGGCTATTGACAATAGTGTTTCCTTAGAATTCCATTCAATTATCAGTAATGCTCCCTGAGAACTGCAAACATCACGAATCAAGATGACTAATTTGTATATAACTCCACTATTAATCCAAGTTTGGAATACTTCAGATGTTTACTACATGTACATGTTGGTAATTGATGAATGATACAAGGATGGGGTCCACTTGTGTGAACCTATCAACAATTTCCAATTGATAAAAATGTATAAAACACCCAATAGCATGGTCATTCATCTTGGTAATTTGAACATAGTAGTGGGACTACTTTATCGAAATAGGTCGATGGCTCTGATCTGGCATCCAAATGAGCACAAGTACATGGATATTTGTTTCATCTTTTGTGCATTACAATTTGATTCAAGTAAGATATGTTTTTTAAGTTAGCAAAGGTTGTAGTTTTGGCAAAATGTTAATGAGATTGCATTATGTCATACGATTTTGCAATCTTTTTTTTTGTTCTAAACTCCTATATATTTATCTTTGTGTTCCACATCAGATTCATAATTCAGATTCAGAGAGAATTGTCTTTCATATAGTGGTTGATTCTCTCAATCTCCCAGCAATCTAAAAGTGGTTCTTATTAAATATTCCTGACGAAGCCACAATCTAGATCCAGAGCATAGACACTTTTGAATGGTTGTCAGCCAAGTATGAAGTGACACTGCAGAAGCAAACCTCCCCTAATCCGAGATACACTTTTGCGCTAAACCACCTTCGCTTCTATCTGCCACATGTTGTTCCCCTACTTAATAAAATTGTGCTCCTTGGCCATGATTTAATTGGCCAAAGGGATCTAGCAGGACTTTGGAGTGTGGACGTGAAGAGTAAAGTAAATGCAGTAGTGGAGACCTGTCAGGAAGGTGAGCCTTCATTTCGTTGGATGGATTTGTTTATCAACTTGTCAGACCCAATGGTGGCAAAGAGATTTGATGCCAAGGCATGTACATCGGCATTCAGGATGATGATCTGCAAGAATGGAGGAGACAAAATTTAACTGGTGTCTACCAAAAATAACTAAAGTTGGTATGGAATCTATGAACTATCTTTATAAACTTGCTAAATAGCTAATTTTCTTTTTTATTTTTAAATTTTTTGTTGCCAGGAATTTCCTTTCCTTAGGGTAGGATATGATTTAGATGTGTGTTGTTGGTCTTTTATTCCCTTCCACCCTATCCCCCTTTCCCCGCCCCAAAAAAAACAACTTTTTTGTCTGTAATTAGGTTACTCTGCACTTATATACTCAACTTAATATTGTACAAGTTTAAGATTGTATTTTATGTTTTGTGATGTGAATTCCCAAGGGAATTTTTGTTTCCATGGGAAAAGACACTGCTTATGGTTTATACATAATTGGATTGGAGTTTAGTGATGACACTTCCAGTTCCATATCATGCAAATATGACTTACTTATTGTCAATTTCTTAGTGTGAGACTGGGATTCTAATAAATTTCAATTCACGATGATTGACGTGGGGATTCATCTCTTGTTCTCATGTCAAATTGTTCCAATTTGTGTACATTACGGTAGTTTCAAGTTGATAAGCTTATATACTAAAAGATTACTTTTTGTAGTGAAACTCGTTTTATTAATTAATAGAAATTTGGTTCTTTTATTTTATTAAGAATTTATGTGGGCAAAATATTTGCATTATATTTTATATATGATATACATGTTTGTCTTATATTTTACATTGTAAATAATCTGGTGTGTAGAGTTTAGGATATGTATAGAAGACTACATTATCGAATCCTTGTATAATATGAATATAGATTCACAATCTTAGATGAAATTGGACACACTGTCAATATGATTGTAGTGTAATATTCTAACATAGTCTGTCTTGATTATAGGATACTATTTGATGTCTCAGATTATTGCACTAGTATATTTTATGTATTTAATAGACTCATATTGAGGTTATTATCTTTTATTGATTGAATAAGATAATAAATACCCCATGATTATTATGATTACTTATACTCTTAATCTTGAGATATTTAACTGCCATGTGCATATAATAATTGTCACTTTAATTTATCAAAGAGTGAGATTCATATTGAATCAATAAACTCAGTGAATTAGGAGACGATATTATTTGTATGGTGACAATTAATTATTAAAATAAAACACGTCATAGTTTTAAATAAGTTGATGATGTCCTCTTAAGGAAGCTCATGATTATTATGATTGCTTATGCTCTTAATCTTGAGATATTATTTGAGGGAGGTTGAGAGAGACGACAAAAGTTCGGAGGTCACTGCAGCCCACACTGTATTCGAATTTTGGCGTTGGGGGATATATGACCGAAGATCGTGAGGTTTATCGAGATGCTTTCTGAGTCTGTCATTAGATTCTGTGTTCATGCGGAGACGAGATCAATTAAGAGCAATTTTGAACGTAAAACCCTACTTTTACTTTATTGGGTTTTAAAGAAATTTTTTTTGTATTCGATACACACAAAATTGTAAGTCTTAAATTTCAGATTGTGTTTTCATTGTGGATGAGGGTCAATAGAAGCTCATATTCAGCTCTATCAAAAGACCTTTTCAATTAACAAACAACTCATTTAAGGTTTGTCATACCGGCTCATATTGATAATTTTTTTACAATTTTTAGTTATATTTAAAATAGTTCATGTGCAACACACGTGTGCAATAACTAGTACTACTAATACAAGTACTTTAAGATGAAAAATTTTGAATCTCTATTTTACCTTTATAAAGTATTGCAAAGATCACTTCATCATTTTACAAATAAATATCTAAATTACTATCATATCTTTATTTCTTTAAATTTCTAAATTATCTATAACACCTCTATTGATTATCCATTATATATGTATAAATATCAGTTTCTATAAAACTTTTTTATTGACTATATTACCCTTAAAAAATATGTATCATTATATTTTTAATAAAGTATTCAAAAAACCTTTAAAAATTCTATTAATCTAATATTACTTATCTCATATGCAAAAATAACATTATGCCCATATATGTGTATTTTCTTTTTTATCGAAAAGTTTAATAATTTCTAAGATAAAATATAATTTATGTTAGATCAGTATAATTCTTCAGTTACAATAATCATTCTAAGTTGTACTAAGATTTTACGTAAATATATATATTATTGTGTATTTTTCAATAAAACTTGATTTTTTTTATAATTTTAATAAGTTTGATAATATATATTATAAAGTAATATATTTAATCTTATCCCAAGTAAAGTTCCAATGTGATTAGTATATTAAAAATTAATTTTATTTTATTTACAAAATTTTAAATGCAATTCTAATCAAATAAATTTAAAAAAAAATTAATTTCTCAAACATCACTAAAAAAATCAATTTTAAATAGAACTTTAAATATTTTTTTTAAATTTTTTTATAGTTATTACAAAAATTTTGAAAACATTCAAAATTTTGATAATCATACAATAGAATGAGCAATGCAAAATTAAGTTTGATAAATTTGAGATGAAATTTAATTCAAATATATGTAAACATAATATGCTTAATTAATTTTTGTATTCGAAAATTATTCATGCGCAATGCACGTAGTGCATTGCTAGTTTTTATATATCTATATAATAAAGTACAATACATAAAAAATGAACTTATTTTAATTACTTTCAAATAAGTAAAAAATTGTAAGTAAAAGTAAAAAAAAAAAGTGAACATTGATGAAAGGTCCTTTCAAATAGTTTTTTAAGCCATTAAATCTGGTTATAGTATTTTTAAGATGACAAGGATAAGTCTATGTACATTTTTTTTGTCTTCTACTCCTTTCTAATTAATATTTTTGAGATTTTTGTTTTGGATATATGTTTCTCAATTTAAATTTTTAATATTTTTTTACTTCACTATTTGTGAAAATTTTGGACAGTGAACTATAAAGTTTTATTTTATTAAATTTTACTGTTTGTAAAAATTTTGAACATTGAATTAGGAGTTTCATTCGATTAAATATTATTGTTTGCGAAAATTTTGTTAACTAGGAGTTTTATTATAGGGTTAATCTCATTTTGCACTCCGAAATATTGTTTGAATCTTAATTTGCACCATCAAAGATCAAAAATCTCAATTTACACCCTCAAAGATAGACATTTGTATCTATGTGCACCCCCAAAGATCAAAAATCTCAATTTGCACCCTCAAAGATAGAAATTTGTATCAATGTGCATCCACAAAGATAAAAAATCTCAATTTGCACCTTCAAAGATAGAAATTTATATCAATGTGCACCTAAAATTAAATTAATAAATTATACCTTGATCCCCTCATGTTTGTCACTTAATCATTTGAACTCTTCACATTTAGAATATTCCTTCACTTTTCGTTGATATATATTAATATAATCGTTAAAAAATATGATTTTATCCTAATATAAAATTATAATTTTATATTACCTTTTATTTTGTAGATTCGATATACTCTAAAGTTGAAAATCAAGCTTACCATTTGAATGTCTAATAAAATGTAGATATTTATATAAAAGGTAATATGTAAAATATTATATATATATTTATATTTTATTAGACATTCAAATGGTAAACTAGATTTTGAACTTTATAGTATATTGAACCTATAAAATAAAGAGTAATATGAAATTATAATTTTTTATTAGGATAAAATTATATTTTTTAACGGTTATATTAATAGATATCAATGAAAATGAGTTACGTGTTATACGTGCACAAATTTCATAAGATGTAGGAGTAATATTCTAAATGTGAAAAGATCTAAATAATTAACTGACAAATATGAGGGGATTTAGGTATAATTTATCAATTTAATTTTAGGTGCACATTGATACAAATTTCTATCTTTGAGGGTGTAAATTGAGATTTTTTATCTTTGGGGTACACATTGATATAAATTTCTATCTTTGAGGGTGCAAATTGAGATTTTTGATCTTTGGGGTGCACATTGATACAAATTTCTATCTTTGAGGGTGTAAATTGAGATTTTTGATTTTTGAGAGTATAAATTGAGATTCGAACAATCTTTCGGGGTACAAAATGAGATTAACCCTTTATTATATTAAAGTTCACTATTTGTGAAAATTTTGTTAACTAAGACTGTTTTATATTAAAATTCACTATTTATATTTTTTAAAATAATTTTGATTTCCTTAGTATTTCACTGTTTTGGACGGCAGTGGTAGTGGTTGGTGATGATGATGGCGGGGGGTGATTGTGGGTTTTGGCTGGTGGTCGTTGGCGATGATGATGGGTGAAAATGGCAGTGATGGTGGTGGGTGACGATTGTTTTTTTGGTGGTGACGATGGTGGTGGAAAACGATGATGGGTGATGATGTTGGTGGCTAGGCTTGTTTTTCACTGTTTTGGTGGGTGAAGGTGGTTGGCAGAGATGGTGGGTAGTGGTGGCGGGTGATAGTGGTGGGCTAGTTTTTCATTATTTTGAGTGGTGGGTGGAGGTGATTGGTGGCGATTGCAAGACCTTGTACTAAAATTAAATAAGAATAATATCATATTAGTAGTTCTCCTAGGATGAATAAAAGGATTGTAGAAACCTAAAATCGTTGTTAAAAGATTGATCATGAAGTTGAGTTTCGAACAAATTGACTTTTAGATCAAACTTAGTTTCGAAAATATTTAAGCTTTTGAAGGGTAATTAGATAAGTTTCTAAATATAGGCCAAAATAAGGCATCCATTGAATCCTAAAGGTCGATAAACTTTGGGAGAGGTAATATGGGGTGTATTAAAAGTGAGGAAGTATTTCAGAGTTAAAGAACATTTTAGAAAGAATTCAGGTAGGAAGCAATTTGACATTACCATAGTTTTTTAGCCATACCTTTGTCCTCTGAACTATGATTGAGCTGATTTTTAGTAGAAGCTACCATTCAAGAGCTACAAAAGTGTATTTCACAAAAATTTCTTGAATCGACTTCTAACTGGGTAAAAACAGCTCTGGTAGTCGGGATAGAAAGTTGATACCATTTGGACGCCCCATACACCATCTAGAAGGCAA